AAAACAGCTTCGTTAGTTAATATTTCTGCTTGGTCACCTTCGTTTGGAGCCTGGAAAGTCAAATGTAAGAGTGATCTATCGCCGACTGCAATTTCAGACTTAAGACGAGCTCATCATAGACTGAAAGCGTCTTAGAAATATTTTGGACGAGGGAAGTTACTCAATAAAACAAGGAATGGATCAAAATGATTCGTTACATGCTGGTTCCCAGGGAACATACGAACCAGCATGTAACGAATAACAGAGATTGCCATTAGGTTAGCTTGTACATATATCATCGACGCCGCTGTGGGAAACACATAACCCTGTGCTTATGACTGGTTCGCTGCGGATGACGGAGCGTACCAGCGCGGCTTCGTTTGGCACGCTGCCAGCCCGTTTTGCAACAGTTGCTGAAGAGACTAAGGGACAAGCACTGGTGGAAGTGACTGCCGCGAACGATATGATACAAACTTGTCGCTTGCCGAAAGAAAAAAAAACCGTTGGGTTAGCGCCAAACGAACGAACGTTCAAAAGCAGCCGCGCTGACATGCCCCATCATACTTTGCGAACGCGACTATATGAATATGGGATAGGTCAAAATTCACAAATTTTCGGACTATCCCATCAAGCGTTATAAACAAACCTTGTTGTCTTCTCCACTGACCGACAGAATACTACCACACACCGACCAACTGACATGCCATAGAGCGCCTTGGGCCTGAAACAGTAAAGTCAGTCAATTAACCATGCAGCTTAACCAGATGGCATCTCCGGTTGGTCAAATTGATTTAAACGACTGAAATCAACTCTAAAGCTGATATTCACTATTGAGAAAGAGATGTAGACTGTTGAGAAGTAGCTATTATTCAAAGGGGGTAATCGATGGGATCCTTCGTGGCTGCTGATTCGCTGATCCTATGCGCAGGGATGGTACTAGCCACAGTTATGTTAGAAACACCCTGACTTATACATGTACTTATTTGAAATTCAGATGCCACGTACTGTATGGTACCATCCCATGCACCACTGACAGATCGCACGCACCACGGGTAGACGAGTACACCGATGTAACCCATGTCTTGCAGTACACCTAACATGACTGCGGACGTTGAAAATAATTTGAGCGGCTCAGTGGAGCCGTTTCTGGAACTTCTCTACATGGACTGACGCCTACTCTTGTATCACATTACGCTTACGAGTACGGCTACTTATGAGGTACTTCAGTGAAAACTAAAGTGAACAAGAGATATTCGAGCGATAATTGGGCCATACTATGATTATACGGTATACGTTTCACGAAGTGTGGACATTCCACTTGCTTCACAACATTCTAAAATTGAGTAGTAACTGAACTTCTTCCGTAAATGTTCCAAGCATAGCCAAGATAATAAAACAGCTTCGTTAGTTATATTTCTCCTTGGTCACCTTCGTTGGAGCCTGGAAAGTCAAAGATAAGAGTGATCTATCGCTGACTGCCATTTCAGACTGAAAGCGTCTTAGAAAAGTACTTTCGTAAGCTGCGAGACCTCCCTAGACGCCTCTAGTCTATGCTGAACTAATCTGAAGCCTGGAATGGCAGTCGGCAGTAAGTCACTTTTACCTCTGACTTTCCAGGCTCCGACGAATGCGGCTAAGCCTGGACGTAAGCCAAATGAAGCCGTTTCATACCTCGGCTACAGTTTCACAATTCACTCGAGGAGAACTCACGCGATGCCAGTGGGCACGTCGAAGAGCTATCAAGTGTTGTCTTGCACACCAAATAATAAAAATCCCACTGGGTCTCTAAATGTGAGCAAAAAACCATACCTTTTCCAAAAGTTTCGCATTCCACTCTCCATTTTCGTTGCATCTCCAAAGAATTACCATTTGATCATGAAATAAGAAAACAATATTGAGATTCAGTACAAACCATAGCAGAGAAACAGTTTGCAAGGATCACTTTCAAAACAAAAAATAATAAAAAATGTTCTACAACACATTGATCTGTGAAGGATGTTCAAAGTTATGCTAATACCAAAGGCTGGGACATGAATTATGAACAGCACTTTTGCCCTCGGAAGGGATTCGAACCGAGACGCCTCTTTTCAACCCTACAAAGTTTCTGGTTACCGTCGACGTGGAACCTACAGCTTCCTTCCTGCTAAACTCGCTAAGTTTTTTGCAAAATTTCAGGCCTACAATGAAAGAAAAGTGGATCTCAGAGCGCTGAGAGGTGTGGCAAACAAACGACGCTAACGGGTTAGGGTAACAGTGAGTGAGTAGTGAGTAGAGTCACTAGTGGAGCTTCAGTACACTGAAAACAGATGTCGGTTGCTGAAGCGATTCCTGGGAGCTCAATCAATTTGACTCCTGTAGGGTGGGGTAGCTGGTCTGACAAGCCCGCGATGAGTTATCCCACTATAATACATAAGGATTCTACAGATCGGATTCACTTGCACAGCAAATAATAATAATAGCCGTTCTACTGCTTTTCACCACTCGGGTTCAATTAGGTGTTTTACCTAGTTGCACGGCAAGGGCAATAAACTAGAACGTCAATGCGCCGAAACGTCAACTGAAACTGTAACCTGCATGCAATTTCCTTGGCTATGGGTATAAGGCACGTTAATTTAATACTAGGTCTAAAATGTTAGTATAGGTGCTATATAAAGGGAAAATGCGAAAAAGGCGAAGTGACAGGGTTGAGAACCTGCAAAAAACCTTTGTTCCACGTGCCTCAGAAAGCAATTTCGGACGAGCTCCCCGTTGGAGTCATGCCAGTATCCGCTACTGGTAGATATGGTTGCGTGTGTGTGCGCAAGCATACACCCATGCAGTACCACAGCTGCTTCATATCAATCCCTTCGCTACATATGGAGTTCGCAAATAAGGCGCACGAGCATCAGCACCGGTAGGGCATTTCTGGGCGGACGAGCGCGGTAGACATCCGTCTCTGCTTGTGCAGTTTGATGGGGCGCTAAGGGTATCTTCCCTAGAAAGAGGCGCCACGCAGCGCCTGTTCTGAGGCGACGAATTCTCTCCTGGTGGGCGTATTAATCCTATACGGCTAAGGGGATTATCGTGCCCTTGCCTTTAATGACAGTGCTGATTATTGTTGGACGATTTTTAAATTACCCTAAAATCCCAATTAGAGAAAGACGGTCACAAGATAAGAGCTATGACCCGCCTCTATCTATCTATTGGCTAGAAATGAAAATTGACGTTTGTATACGTTTTTTTCGCGTTGTGTGCTCATGATTATCGCAATAATAGCCTACAACTCTACCTTTATTCTTACTTCAAGTTCTATCCAGAGATCAAATTCCGGCATTTCTAGAGAGATTCCGGCAGAAATTCCGTTGAGATCGCTATTTTTCGACATGAATTGTTTATTAAGTGGGCGGGGTTTAGAGTTGAGGGGCGGAGCTTCTTCTAAACTTCTTCTCCGATTTTTATTTATCCATCCATCAAGTTAGAGGGGTGACTGCATTGAATTTCAATTCATTCCAATTTATTTTCACCGGTAAATTAAACCGCTCACTTATACTATGGCGATTTAGTGCTATACGAAATGGAGTGGTTAAGTTAATTAATTAATTAAGTGTAAGTGATAATTAAGTGATAGTGATAAGAGAAATGCAAGTCAATCAACTGTATCATCCTGAGTTGCTCACTTATGATTGTTACATTGCGACTGACTAATAAATAAATAAATAAATAAGTGATTAATCCTTAACCACTTGCACTTAACATGCCGAGGTTGCAAGAAGAGAGAAGCTGGAGAATCTTCCGAATGAATGGAGTGTTGTAGGTCACGTTCAAGTGGTATGTCATGAACATGGAAAACAACATTAAGACCACTTCATTAAAACTTCAAGAGTGATCAAAAGAACTGATCAGGTTTTCTTTCATTCAAATTAAAGAAAGGGGTTATAGTGAGGAAAAGTCACACAGACTGCAAAGTACAATGACTGTAGTGGTAAAATTAAAAAAACCAATAACTTGTAAGATTCGAAAGCCAAGTTTCTTATATAAATAAGACTTACCAGCCCGCAACTTGCAATTGTGTGTGTCGAATGGTTGATCACTGGGCACCAGGCCACATCTCGAACAAAATCGCTATGACCTTTTAAGGTTTTTTCTACGGTCCATTCACCTTTCTCATCCACGCTGAAACGATAGTAAGATTCGCTACTATTAACATCCATTTTTGAATGATGCATATAGAAGAATAAGGATATGCACCAACACCCAAATTTTGACGAGATTGTCGTTGCCACAAGAAACCAATTTCTTCTGGTAAGGCCGATCACCACCATCTCCAGCTATTCGTTGTACTGGACACCAAGAAACGGCATTGACACCCTGATAATGTACAAACATTGCTCGAAGCAAACTCAAGCCCACAAAGTCAGCTGTTCTTCGGTTGCGGTGATACAAAGGTAGAAGTCATTTTATACTTACCTGATCATGAGCTTTGATAATCTTCGTATCCACCCACTGGGCACTTTGAGCATTGAATTCTAGGATGCCTATGTTACAATCAGCTGAAGCAGTCGCAAGAAGGAGGCCAATTTCATGGGGAGCGAAGGCAACCGAATGAACGCTGGCTTCATGACCGGACCACTCGTGCGATTTCTGCCAGCGTCCGTTGTTCTCCGCCCATATGATGACTTTCCTGAAATCGTATGAATTTAATGTCTGCAAGATGACAGAAGAGGAGATATAGGCAGCAGTGCTCAAGTCTTAACGTCAAAACAAACTGACCAGGAAAGGTCAACAGGTCAGCCTGGCCATATTGCAATGAGGTGCACATCATTGTACTCGCCTTGAGACGGTGAACTCAAAACTATCTTCAAAATTTGCGGAACGATTCTCTGAGCGGAGTTATGGAGGTTTCTTTACTGTTTTTCTTCTTCCGGGCGCGCTGGCGCCAAAGCGTTGGCACATGTAGCGCGACTCACAGCGCTTTTCGCGCAAAACAGGTATCATATTCGTGCTTAGGGGTCAAATAACCCCTAGAGACGGCACCTTAGCGAAATCTGAGGTTCTGACTCAGCTTCGAAAAAATTGGGGTAAGGTTAGTCACTGCGACTAGCATACTGATGATGACTGGTCTGCGAGCTGAAATAACTCTTCAATCCTGTATTTTCGCAAAGAACAATACCTGGCTCACTTATTCGTGCCGTCTGCATCATTTTCCTGATTACCGGTAGGAAATTCCATCCCAAGAC